AAAAAAAAAAAAAAAAACTGGGGGATCTGAACCCCACCACTAACAAAAAAACATAAAGAAACCTATAATATCATTCGCTCAAGTGAGAAGGCGCCAGCATCAATCCACGAATTCTCCCAGTGAGCATCTTTAAGGAAACATCATGTCATGGGGTGTCGCTTCACAAATTCTCCAGTGACATAGACCTCCTCAAAAATATGTCTGCCTATAACCAATATCAACCACTTGAATAGTATTTACCTAATTGTCATCGTCCTTCAGGACATGTTTTTTTGAAGGCAGTGTCCATAGTTCATTTGTCAATGCGGCAAGACGTAAATCTGTATTTGCGTCCCTCAGTAAATAAATCCTGCGAACAACCAATCAAGGCTTCTTAGTTTGTCAAAGGATGTATCTAAAAAAGCTAGTGTCTCCCTTAAGTAACTAATATCTCCCTTTAGTGCACCGAAGCTTGAAAGCCGATCTTTTGCCACCAAAAGTGCACAATCTCACACTCATTGTAGAGGTGGGTTAACTTCTGGTCGCTATAACAGCGGTTCAAACATAACCAGCATTCAAATCTAGACAAAGGCTTCTATCATGAAAGGGAACATAGGAGCCGTGATTGGGATAGATGGCGGTAAGATCCTTTTGCACCATTCTTGTTTGCACATTTCCTTCCAAAACTTCGCCAGCGTTTTATTGTCCTCACTTCAGGGCAAATCACAAGGAAGCGGCCCGGGTGAAATGGCGGAAATTCTCCCTGTTTGTGCCGGCTAAATGAACAAAACCCCGTACCTTGTATAGCTTCGATCTCATGAGGTTCTACATGGAATCTGCTCGGATGAGGCCTAGCAGATACCGTCAGTGTACCCGGAGATTGCCGCTCCTTCATCTTGCCTAACGTCGGTCGTTAAAAGTTGCCAGTCCTTGCAACAATCTTCTTCCAAGCTTTGAAATAGTGAGATTCACTGGGGATGAACGTCAATCGTAAGTTTATGTGGAACATGTCAGGCTTCTCGAACAAAAAGTCTGCCCATGATAGATCAGCCATTGTTACGCAAGATTTCCACCATGTGCCGAATCAGCTTGAGCTTAAGCAATTTGGTGAACCCATCGCGCATAATCGTGGGTGGAAGAACTTTCCAATGCCTGCAAACACGCGTTTGATACCAGCATCCATGGCCTGCAACGTTTTTGCGGTCATATTCTGGACAGTGTCTCGAAAAACTGTTTTTGAGCAAATAAATTGTACCGTATCCCATGCTTTAGTACTTCAATAACGGCCAACAGAGGGTAACCCGACTGGTCCAGAATGGGAGATTTCACATCCATTCAACCTATGGCCGCTCGATCTATTAGTGCGTGCAAATCAATACGGCGGGGCGGGCTGGGTTCTCGATGAGAAATCCAGCTGTGTCTGGCTGTGGGGCTCTGATTGCTGAATATCTCTCATAATCTCCGGATAGTCCACGATGAGTCAGCAAGCAATTCACCCAGGGCTAGACTGGTCTTGGCAAGTATGGGGTGGTTTTGTCAGGTTAATTTAATTGTCTTGCTGCCGCGAGATCAATTTGAGTGCGCTGGTGTTGGCTCAGGTGCAGCCCAAAATGATGGAGCATTCAACATCAGGTTTTTTTTTTTGATCAGTAGAGAGGATGTATACAAAAGTTTTACTGTAGCATCCCGGAGTTCAGCTCAAACGTAGACAAAGACGAAATCAGAAATACAAAGGGCAAGGCCGATTGGGATGCCAGGGCGTAGTAATCTGCACTGGGCCCGAATCAAATCCAGCTTGCAAGTCCATTAATAAAGATGCGTGGGCATCAAAATGATGGTGTGATGGGGCTGTCCTGCTGAGAATTACAAGGACACTGTCCTGGGTGTTTATTTTCAAGCACGCTTTTCTGGGTGTTCGCTGTTATGGTGCTCATTTCAAATAAAGCTGTTCTGGCTTTTAATAGGTATATACCAATGCTGTTTGCGGGCTGGTTGTGGCATGGGACGGAGAGTTCAATAGAAAAATCTCTTGAAACACAAACAAGGTGTACGATTTTAGAAAATTCGCCGGAAAAATACACTGGTTTTGGGAGATGAAGAGACCTCTTAAGAAATTGAAAGACGCTCGATCGTTTGGCTCGTCCTGAGTCATGACCGGTGTGATATCTAAACATAAATATGATGATGAAATACTGCTTTCTCTTGCCGACATTCTCGATGATGAATGTTATTATGGCACCGCCACTGTCTCACTCTTTCCGAAATGTGCTTTTAATTTCGTGTTGAAATAGCTTGATGTTCTGAGCTCATAAGGCAGATTGCAGCTAGTATTTATTCAGTCCAAAAAAAAAATTCTTCAGAGACATAGCCATGGTCTTTACTTTCTGTTTCAGAAATTGAGAAGGCAGTACTTCAATTTCCCGGCTAATTCATGTTCTTGGGCCCTCAAAAACTCACCCCGTCCACGAATTTGAGAATTGCTTGGGTGCCAGCTCATCTTAGAGGCCTGACACTAATTTTTGTGGATTGGGCACTCCAAACAAACAATCGTTGAATCAGGCCCATGAAATCATTTAGTAGCTGGAAATGATTTGGAACTAAAAGGCCTATTTGAATATTTCTTTTAACCCTATGCGCCTTTCTCGCAAACAATACATTAACTCTTGCATAAGAATTTTTCTAATCAGCCAAATCGATGAGTCGGAATTCCCGGCCAGTCCGAAAGGCGCTCGCATGAACTGGAACGAGCTTCGCAAAGCTGATGTGTTAGTTGGCCTCATTGGGAATTAAGATGAGTTGTTGTTCTGGCTCCTCCAGGCACTTCTTGATACAGTCTTGTTTCTCATCTAGCCCGACCGTCTTCGCCTCAGCCATTAGAGTGATATGCAAAGACAGAAATATTTCCAGTCACAAGATCACCATAAAATATGGCTACCAAAGTCTACCGAAAGGAACCAAAGACACACCAACCTCGACTTTAGAGTGGCTTTCTTTATGATCTTAGTTAATGATCACTTTACATGCTCCGGCCCGCCATGTATATGGTTTTTATTACTAGTCTACATGCTTCGGCCCGCACATGCGCATCCTTATGTATGAGCCACTGGCCCTAAAAGCACCAAACTCTGGTAGCTACGAAAATAAACTCCCACAAGAATTCGAATACATGATTGGCGGCTTCTGTGGAAGCGACCATAAATGGAAGCAGGGTGTGGGATTTTGCTGGACCTGATTGTGTTCGGCACCAGCATGTCTGAAGCTGATTCCGTTTGTAGCCAGAAACTAGGCTTTAGTCAAAATATTTCAGATCACCAAGTACTTGCTAACAATAATTAGCAAGTGGATCTACGAGTAATATCCATTTTCAAGAACCACGAAGGGGTCGTTCATTATACCATCTGGTTCCATAAAAAATTGAGGAGGTCTGCAGAAGGTGCAAACAAGATGATATCTTGAAACTGAATCTGTGGCAAAGCTGACTCTTGGCGTTTATCGATCAAGTTCTGGAGATTTCCCAGACGATAGTTTTGCATAGAACCAGGAAAGTCACCACCACCGACCCAGTCGGCCCAAGTGCCCAAGGGCCTTCCAAAGCAAATAAACTCAAAAGAGCATGAAGCTTTTCTACCGCTTTTATGCGTTTAGAAAATGCAGCTAATTGGGTCGCATTGGCATTCAAAGAGTGGTAACTGTGCAGAAACCCCAAATAAAAAGCAGTCGATTCGGCGTCACAATCCGCAGAATTCAAAAGAGTCAAATGTAGTGGTTCCTAGGGCATGAGGCACATTGTACTCCGGTGATCCCAAATAGTGGCATTGCACATTCACTCAGGCGTTGTTTGAGCAAGGCAGCTCATTTACTTCAGCGTAGATGCACCCTGGATACCAAAGTCTCACAAAAACATGCGTCTAAGCTCTTTCCCAAAATCATAGACACACCGCTGACAGAACATCCCACCACTTACAAAACACACAAAAACAAGTAATCTGCTAGATACGGATATTGCTCATAATTTGCACATTCACTCCCGTCGTCTGAACATGCACGCCTAACATGGGAAATAAAAATTACAATATTAAAGACACGTAATGTAGAACAGCTCCAAAGACCGCTGATATACCAAACAGGGGAAGTTTACTGGATGAGCAGAGGGATTCCCATAAGTTGACAGCTTGCGCATTTAGCCACGGTGTGTTAGCCCCATGAAACACCCTTCTTCTAAGCAATCGTTTTGAGTCTGGATCCATTGGATCAGGGGAAGCCCAAATTGATATGTAATACAGGAGGAAACGGTCGGGAGCCACAAATCCCTGGTGGGTAGGGGGGTTGTGCTTATGGTGGCAAATCCATGATGGATAAGTGTTGTGCTTATAAATTGGTGGGACTCAAGAAGGAAGTTCAGGTCTCCAACTGAAGAGTAGTTTTGATGCAGTTTTCGAGGGAGGCCAGAACCTGACACATCTAGGCGGTGGTTCTGGAGAAGTCTGCCCGATAAAAGGCAAGCAAGCTTATATGGTGCTTTGACGTCTCTGCTCTCCAAAGGCTCGCGCATATGGGGCAACTATCAGGAGGAGCAAAGAGTTTGACTCCAGGTGTAGCACATGGAGAGCCCCGGGACACTGAGCCGGAGCAGACGATTGTTTGCTCGACAGATCGAAACATCCAAGGCGCCAGCAGCGGCTCCAGTAGGGCCTAATTCCATCTCCGCCACGATGTGAAGTCTTTGGGTGCCAACCACGCGAGAGTTTCCAAGACAGCCGGCAGGAGGAACATGCGTCCAGCAGAAGGAACATACATCCAGCAAAAGCAAAAGCAGAAACAAGATCCAGCAAAAGCAGAAACATACTCAGCAAAAGCAGAAACATACATCCAGCAAAAGCAGAAACAAGATCCAGCAGAAGCAGAAACATACTCAGCACACCTCCACGGCTGCGGACCCTGCAATCTACAGCAGCGGGGCTTCCGCGCAGACATCCAGAAATCAACCTTGTACACGGCTCGAAAAGCGCTTTCTATAAACAACGTACACTAGTCGGCCCCGCGGGGCCGAGGCAACCCGGCGGTTCTGCCCGGGCTCAGTCGTCCAACAAGTCGTCGATGTCGTGGTCCTCGGCCGCGTCGTACTCGCCCTGGTGGCGCTCGCGGAGCTGCTGGGCCGCATCCTGCAACACCTGCTCCTGGCGCTTGACGTTGCGCCGGGTGGCCTTGCCCCAGCCAAAACTGGTGGCCTCCCTGTCCAACTCCTCGAACTTCTCGGACTCGTCTCTCTCCTTGCGCTGGGCGTCCAACTCCTTCTCGCGCTTGTCGATGGCGAGCTGCGTGCGGATGTGTCGTTGCTTGGCCCAGTTCGAGTAGTAGCCGCGGGCAAAAATGTAGATGCAGACGATGATCACCAACCGGAGGTATTTCTGCAAGGACTGCTTCTCCACGTAGTCGTAGACGAATCCGAGCGGCGCGGCGGGGGTCTCCATGGTGTGTGCTTGTGGGCTACGGCAGGGGCTCCAGGTTTGGGGCCGGTGGTGGTGGGTTGGGTTGGGGTGAAGAAGAAAATGCTGGTATGGGCCCGGGATCTCCGGTCGCTGCGAACGGGCCGAGCGCCAGGGCCAGTGCGCCTTTTCGCCCTGCTGAGACAGGCCCTGGCGCACGCCTCTATATACTGAGACAGGCCCTAGCGCACGCCTCTATATACTGAGACAGGCCCTAGCGCACGCCCCTATATACTGAGACAGGCCCAATCTGCGCCAGGCGGCCGGCGAAAAAAAAGAGCCGGTTTGGGGCAGGCGCCGTGTTGCGCCATGGCCCAGGCTTTTTCTGGGGGAATTCCGCCCCGGGGCCGGCCCGGGAGACTGGCGGCGGCGGTCACGTGACGCGTGGCTGGCTCCCTCACCTGGCCCCAGAGCTCGGGCGCCCTCTCCCCCCGCCACAATGGACGTTCTCGAGGAAAAGTATAACCATTCCGCCGACCGCTTGGACAAGCCGTCGCAGTACTTGATCCGCAAGTCCGTGCGGAGAGGCAACTTCGACAACATCACCAAGGCCTTGCGGCTGAAAACCGTCTACGTGGGCAACTTGACGCACTTCACCACCGAGGAGCAGATCCACGAGCTCTTCTCCAAATGCGGCACCATCAACCGCATCATCATGGGGCTTGACCGGAACAAGCTCACGCCCTGCGGCTTCTGCTTCGTCATCTACAAGAAGGAAAGCGGGTCCCTCAACGCCATGAAGTTCTTGAAGGGCACCTATTTGGACGGCCAGAGCTTGGAGATCGACTTGGACCCTGGTTTCCAGGAGGGCCGCCAGTTTGGCCGCGGCGTCTTTGGCGGCCAGGCACACCAGGAGGCCGAGCACGGCGGGTTTCCCAGAAGAGACCCCGGCCAGTTCCGGGGAGGCAGGGGTGGCTTCCGTGGCGGCTTCCGGGGCCGCGGCCGGGGCAGGGGCATGCCCCGCGGCGGGTTTCGGGGCCGCGGCGGGTTCAGGGGCTGATCTCGTGCGATGCCCGGTGAATGTTGATGTACTGGAAGGAGCGGAAGGAAAACTACCAAACCGACCTTGTAGACCCGGTGGCCGTGCCCACGCAATGGGCGGACCGGGCTTTCGGGCCTTTGGTCAAGGAATCCACGTGTTCGTGGCACCGTTCTGAGCGGCCCGAGAGGTATCTGTCCATAGCCTGTATACCCAACGTGGACCCAAGCGTCGAAATTTTGTGTGTAAAAGAGAGAAGAACCTGCTCTTTGCTTGTAAACCTGTCTGGGAAGCATGAAGAAATGGCCACCCTTCGTGGATGGCGATGCCGAGACCTGTGAATGCAGCTGACTCTTGTCCTGTAATAAGGAAGAGACAAAGTGCCTCTATAGGTGGAAATGAGACCATGCCCGAAATGCCCATGTCCATCTGGGTCGGCGGGTTGAATAGAATGCCAAGCCTAGCTGACACCAAGTCCATCTTTGGCAGGGAGCCATCCAAGGAGAAATGACGGCGATGAGCATCTACTGTCACTTCCTGGTGGTGCTTCGGTCATGACATGTTTTCGCAATACCGTGCGGTTTTCGTATACAAGTTCTTCCGGGAATCCTGGAGATTAAAGAGAATAATTCACTAAGACAAACACGTGTGGTCTCTTGTCGCAAGTCCTTCGGGACCCAGTACCATGAGCCTCATGGTGACACCTACTTGTGCTCGTAGCGCAGGGCATCTCGTGACTATACCAGCACTTATGATATTACTAGCACATGCACAGATGCCTATACTGCCGCATATTTAGTGGCACGTATCATCTCATGATTATACAGAAGTACCGAAGTGTTCTTTCTGATTCTATTCCTGGCTACAAGAGACGACAGCTTGAAGAGGATGTGCACGAGGTAAAACAAATTATCACACGCCCGACTGTTCGTTTCTGACCGCAATCTCTTCAGCCACCAAAAATGAACAGACATAATTGTTTCTAGAATCCAAGTAAAGCGTCGATCCAGTAGATTACCCAGGTCATGCAAAGAACCTTCCTCTGCATTGCTCGCACATAGTTCTCACGCTGTCGCTTGACCACTGCAATACGCACATACACGTCAAATAATCATGCAGCCCATACATAATTCTACAGAAACACCTGTAAGAAAAAACCCGTAAGGAGGTAGCAAAAATTCAGAAAGCCTTGCTCACCCGGGGCGGGACGGTGCTCAGTTCTACTCCACAAGTGATCCCATATCAAAAGTCGCGAACAATATATGAGAAGCTAGCAGATGTTATGCTCAGCACCGGCTTTGTGTTGGATTTAGCCATAAATTGAGGCGCCGTCTCTCCCAACTCAGTTTTATCTCCCACCACCTTTCTTCTTCTCGAACTTAGATCACTGGAAGACTCTGACTCAAGACTATTCAAGTGAACACTATAACCGACAACAAGAAACACCCCACCCACCCCTCCGGACTTTTTTTGACTTTGAACCAATGACTGTTTCATTCGAATCAAGTTCTGTTTTCGTGGGCTCCTCCGAGCTCACCATGCCAACCATTCCCACCGGCGCCAACCAGCCAGCTGACACTCGCAGCTGGTATGAGAGACACGCCAGGGGAACCGTTGGATCTTTTTTTGGCTGCAAAGAAAGATCTCACCCAATTGGTGGATATGCTTCAGTGTACGCTGAATTGATTGCCGCCAAGGGTGCCTGGCTGGTCCAAGCCTCCACTACTACTAAAGGTAGTGTGGAGGAGGTATCGGCCAAGAAGCCTGACAAGGTTTCCGAAGCCATTGCAATCGACTTGAAGGGAGAAACCCCAGCTCAAGTCGATTCTTTGGAAATTGGCACCAGCCAAGCTCCATGGAGCTTGGCTGGTGCTGGTGCACAAATCAGTGCGCAAGGCGGAGAGCCAGTGGCCCCAGAATTGGGCGCGGCCCCATGCATGGGGCCAGAAGTGGCTGCGGCGGCCCCGGAAATGGCTGCAAAATCCGGGCCGAATGATGCGAATTTGGCCCCAGGGAGGCGCGCGGCCCCGAAAAAACATGGGCCTAAACTGAAGAAGCGGGCCCGCGCCATGCGGAAAGCTCGCCGCGTGGCCAAAAAATTAAAAAAATTAGTGGGGGTAAAAGAACCCCAAGGGATAAACTTTGGAAAGGACAAGAGAACTTTGAGCAAGAAGGATTTGGGGAAAAGAGTCTTTGTTCCCTCTGATCCCAATTTGCCTTTGTTCGATCAATGGTTGGACAACACTGTGGCGCCGCTTATCGATGTGGTTTCCATGCTGCCAGAGGAGCTCGCCGCGGGTCAGGTTGAGTTTTATGATGGACAATATGAGTTTTTTGATGAACAATGTGAGGACTACGAATACCACAATGGACTTGCCCCTACTTCTATTCAAAGCGAGGCAAATTTTGGCATTCGTGAGAAACTCAGCCGGAGTCGCTTCAAGATGACAATTGGCATCAAGACGGTTCTTAGAAAGACTCCAAAATGGCCCCAGAAGTTCCGGGCTGCTATCAAGGATGGAAATGGCTGGCGCTCTTTTTTTCCTGACAGATACTTGCCAAAGCCCCGGGATTGGAGCGAGTTTTTTTCTGACGACGGAAGATCAAATTATGATCTGGAGTGGCCCTATGATTTCAATCCGGTAATCTACTACCATGTCGAGAATTTCTTGAAGGCTAGCAAAAATCGGGCTACCGAGTCGGGGAGTATTGACTTGGTGGAATCAAAGGTAGAGGGCTTGGAAAAGGCAGAAGGCACTCAACCTCAAACTGGAATTCAGGGTAAACACGAGGTCACTCAGGGCTCCCCTTGCAATTCTGAACAGACGGCAATCCCCATTATTCAAGGAGCAAATTTGGGAATTGATGAAGGGGCAAGCACAAAGACTTTCGCAGATGTCGAGTCAAATGAAGACCCTGGTTGCTGTGCTTCAGGAATAATCTTCTCCAATGAATGGGCCTCTTCTGATGGAGCTGTTTCATTAAAAAGTGGGAAGCTTTCTGCTCATGAATTTCTGCCAAAGGAATTCAGGCTCAGAAGCAGGGGAAGCCTTCTTGAAGGAAACGACTCGAGTGTGATTCTTTCACCCCTAAATTCAGGGATGTCCTTAATTTCTCCTTTTCTAGACGAGAATTTGGACTCCAAAAGCTTGGGGACAGAAAGATCATTTTCCCCTATGAAAACTTTGGATGGCAAGACACCAGAGGAGCCATTGATCCCAAAAGCTGCCGACAGCTTGCCAAAATCCAAGGGATACGAGGAACCTGGCGCTATCAAAGGGCCATCAAAGACGTTAACTCTTTTTTCAAAGATCTTTTTTCCAAACGCTGCTAACGTTTGTGACGAGGCGAGAGAAAATGATGGACAGGTAGCCAGTTCTTGGGTTAAGTCTCAGACTTCCAATACTGACATCAAGTTCACTGCAGAAGGCCACCTGAACTCAGAGAAATATGAGTTCGTGGCAAAGGAAAATAGGAAAGCTGATAATTGTTGCTCCAATGTCATTGCTGGTGTTCTGAGCTCAAGAAATCCTGTCATCGGAAGCTTGTTTTTCGAAAATGTGGATAAAAGTGAGGTTATTGAGGAAATCTATACTAAACCAATCCATGTTGTTCGCAATTCTGGCACGCCAATTGCAAATGGTATGGCTCACCGGTATGTTGAAAAGATCAAAGCAGGCAAGCAAGACAAATTTACCCATGATGGCGTCAATGACTCTGAAAGAGATTTCAAAGAGGGAGGCTTTTCTGGAGATGGTATTTTAAAAGAAGATACCAACTTTCCTGAAAGCCTGTGCTCTACTGAGATGGTAAAAGAGACTGCAAATTTCAAGGGTAGTAAAAGACTTGTTACCGTGGGTGCTTCTCAATCGGAGAGACTTCTTGAGTTTGAGCTTCAAAGCATTGACTCATATCATAGGCAGAAAAGAAGTGTTTCTAATGTTGAGGAGATTAAAAGTCTCAAACATCTTTCTTCTGAGGACTTGGCAAAAAAGTTCAACGGTTCTGCCTATAATCCCGTGACTAAGAGTGAAGCTTATTCGCAAACCAAAGAGGCTTCTGATTTGTCGGCGGATGTCTCGGCTCTTCTTTCGGACCATGCTTGCTCTGAAAAGTTAGATAACACGAAGCCTGGTTGGAAAGTCCCAGAATCGAGCAGTGCTTTGTTGCCACGAATTCCAGAAATAAAGAACTGTGATTCTTGTGGAAATCAGAAAGCTACAACTAAATCAGTTGAAGTAACCTCCGAACCAAATTTTGGAACTTTGAGATCTTTGGCCTTGCCCAAAAAGTCTCATTGGAACGATATCCCATCTGATTCGGAAAATTTATTGATTACTTCGGAATCGGGCACTTTGAGACCAATCAGAAAAGAAAAGGCTCCAAAAAAACCAAAGGCCATCATCAAGGTTGTTCTCTCGACCCCAGAACTGCCTATGCAGACTTCGTCTTCTTCGAAGCCAATAGAGGAAGTTGGGGCAAAACCTGAGAAAAAACCTCATTTGGACTCTCTTCTGCGTATTCAAGGTAAGTCTTTATGGCTGACTCTTTTCCCAGATGGTATATTAAAGCCTGGGGATAAGGATATATCTGAGGGAAGTGAGCTTTTCAGTATTTGCGATGCTAGGCGGAATATTCCGCTCATGAGTGATATAGTTGCTTTGGGGCCTCAAGATCACTTTTTTGGCACTTCCGTGAAAGACTTCACTGATCTTAGCTCGGAAACTTTAAAGCAGCCACTCGCTGAAGAAGACAGAAAAAAAAGGGAGAGCAAATTGTGGAAAAAAATCGACAATTGTAGGGCTACTGTAAACAGTCTCAGGGGTGAGTATGATTTGAAACAGATCAAAAATTTGATCTTTCAATTCTCGGATTGCTTCAAGTTTACTTGGGACAATTTTTCTAGTGTTGCAACAATGCAGATGCTTGACTATTTTGACTGGCTTCTCAAAAACAAAAAGAGCATTGACTTTGCATTCAACCTTGTCTGCACAGCTAGTGAAATGACCAGTTCTTTTATTCGTATCATCAAAGATACCAATAACTCGGAAGAGAATTTGGAAATAGTACTCGAGGGGTTGAATCATGTCTTAGTTTCTCTTTCGGAAGCTTTTATGATTTTGGATCAGGTCCAAGATGGTATTCTCCAGATGAGACAAGATTTCCCCAACTATGTTCCAGCTATGGTAAACGCAGCTCAGGTTGCGTTAATTAGTAGCTTGGATATATCGGATGCTTACAATGATCTTTGCTCGGTCAAAGTTAAAGAGACTGTGGATAAATTGGCGCTCAATGAACAGAGCGGATACAGCCAATTCGTCAAGAATATGGACTGGTTGACTGCGAGAAAAAACATTGACTACGAATCCATTTTTGGTGCCGCCTTGAATGATTTGCAAAAGGCCTTTCACGTTGTCGATGATGGACGTCAAAGTGTGGAGGAATTGATCAAAGACATATTATTGAAGGTCGGCGATTATAGGGCTTGTTGTGAAGCATAAAGACAAATAAAGATAACAAGAAGCTCAAACAAGATCAAAAAAAAAAAAACGATCAAAAATGAGCGCTGATTAGAAATACGGAGATAAAAAAAAAAAAACATTGGTCAAAGAACGATCAAAAGAAAAAAAAAATCAAAAAAAAGAGATCAAAAAAAGATCAAAATTAAGTGGCTTTAAACTAGATATATAGCTACAATGTATTATTTCGCTTATAAAAGAAAACCTTTTATTAAATCACGTACGTTGTCGAACCTTCAGCATGATTGATACTGAACACATTTATCTTGAGACAGTTGCAACATGGGAGAGCGCTTCTGTATAATTACGTCATCAATATGAAAATAGTCAAATAGAACATCATGTAGTGGTGTTTAAAAGCAACGTAGAAATCAGCTCATGCAGAGAAGAGAGTAATGCCTCTATAAGAATTCGAATTCACTCTTGTCCCATATCTTTGAGAGATAGTCGAAAACATTGCCTTTTGAGCCTACACCATGAGATCAGGTCATATACTGTTTGCTTGTAAGTAAGACATTGCTGAAAAATGTGAATGCATGCTTATTCCAAATTCGCTAAATTAGTTCTATTGATACATTTCTATTAAATTAATTTCGTAACCGATCCAGGTCAAGCACTGACTCAAATATCACGCGACTTCTTTTCGTCGCTATCCGAAGAAACTGCTTGCACCTCCACGGGCTCAGTGTCCGTCAAGGAATTGAACAAAACGATACCGTTTTGTTTGGAGTATTTCTTTTCTTGCTTCTTGTACAAGTACATCACAAGAAGCGTCCAGAGGCACAAGCAAAACGCACTTGAGGCAGCAAAAGAGTAACCTTTCAAATACCGGGGCGCCTCCACGGTCTTCCATACAATGACAGACATCCACGCCGTGGAAGCTTGAGCCAACATATTCATCACAACCAAGATCACCGCACGTTTTTGAGCGTCTCGGCGACAGATGTCATTTTGCCAGGAGTACAAGACCGGTGCCATGGCCCAACCAAAATACTGCAAGCACCAGGCAAACCACTTGGCGCCTTCGGGCACATTCCACACGGCCAAAATAACATTTCCCGTGATGTTGAATACTTGAGAGAACCAGATAGCCGACCACCGCAGCTGGAACAAGTCGGCATACATGCATGTGAGGAAAAGCCAGATAAGACCGAGCGCAGGCGTCAAGGCCGAGTAATCTTGAAGAGTCCCTGCGTCAAACCGGCCGAGCGAGTTAAGCCACAAGATGTATGCACCGGAACTGGCATTGCTGTTATTCCAGCAGAGCATGTTCCAGATGGCCAAAACATAGAATTCCCAGGATGTGATGATCAGCTTCCAAGTTTCCTTCGACATGAGAGACGTGAACAAATTGACCTGCGGCCGGCCGGCTGTGTGGTTCTGCTTCAATTTCTTGCGCAATAACCGGATTTCGTCGTCCGTCAACCAAATCGAGTAGCAGTCCGTGGGGGTTCCGGGGAGCATGTAGAAACCAATGATGCCAACTGCAACAGAGACAATTCCGTCGATAATGAAGATCCAGCGCCACGACTCAAGACCCCCGACGTTGTCGAAAGTCCGCAAGATGGCGCCCGACAACAACCCCGAGGTCAAAACTCCAAGGTACTGACCGAAATAGTACACCATGGATCTTCTGGCGATCATGGCCGGGTTGAATATGAAAGTGCCAAACAAATACTGGTACGCCAAGTACGAGGGAGCCTCGAACATTCCGATCAAGAACCGGAGTGCTTTAAGCTGGCCAAGTGTACTCACCTTGGAGGTACCGATGGTTAAGAACGACCAACAAAGATCCAAGCACGGCAACACGTAATTCAACGGAAGCCCGTACAAGACGTACATGAACGGAATTTGGAACACAATGTTTCCCACGTTGAAAAGCACCTGTGTGTTCACCAAATCGTTTCCCAGCATGTCAAGCGATTCTTTGAGCCCAGCCACGTACGCGTTGTTCAAATTTGTCTGGTCCAAATACTTGACCCAGTAGGCCATGAGCGAGTAGAACGTCAACAAGATGTCAATTTTCCACATCAACTTTCTCTCGGCCGGCGTGTCGTTTTCGTCGAACCACTTATACCATTTATGGTTAGCCCGCGCATATTTATTAGACCGGTACTCGTACTCGTCGAAAAACTTCCACCATGGGCGGTTGGCCTCGTCACGATACTCGATCAATTCTGTATCTTCGACAGCTTTTTGTGTATCCTCGTAATTGCTTTCTTGTAAGGACACTTGCGACTCACTAGATTCCTTCGACTCATCCACAGCCAATTCTTGTGGATCAAGGTCTTCGTCCACAATTCTGCGCACGGGTATGAAACCCCACTTGAGCCTGCTCAAAGGCTCCTTCAAACAAGACATGATAAGAAAGGTCAAAGCTGCTTTTCATGGGCATATCGGCGGAATTGGGCTTCTACTTATACAACAGTAGAAAAACACACGGCCAAATCACCTCTACTCACGTGCACAGTCTTTACGAGCTGCAGTACTGGGGTTGCATGCAAATAGCGTATTTCGCAAGGAAAGCTTATTTTAGAGCGTGGCCCAGCGGAACAAGGGACGGCTTTATACTCCATAAATCCCTTGCATTTTGCTGGTGGTGTTTCTTCACGTGCACCCTCTCTCGGAAAATCCAGGATTCTTACTCAATTCCAAGCACTGTTGAGTCTTTTCACAAGGCTGCTGTTATTTTTTGGTCCAGTGACTCATACACCGGAGCTGACCGAGTCACGCCCGGTACCGGAGACTCGCGTCCTGCAGGCCGAGTAAAATGCGGCTCATAGCGGGAATTGTGGCTCTCAGCCGTTTACCATAGGCTCCCTGGGCCGCTATCCGCCAGGCTTCGCGGCAGAAAAAAAAAATCAGAGTCATTCCAGGGACTGTGCCAGAGAATACTTTTGAAGCACCAGCACCATTTCCAACGTGACATGTGGGATATGATATTTGGGGCTGGAGGAAACTCGTTGCCCTTTGAGGTGCACCCAGCAATTAGGTGAGATGAGCTTTTGGCTAACCTATTCGAAGGTTTCCACAGCACGCCATCACGTCTTATTGGCACAACTGTATTTCTTTTTCTTTTTTTTTTTGATAATTTGTTTTTCCAAGCGGGCATCGCATAGATAAACGGTGCCAAAGCCGCGTCGCAGTACACAGGCATACATTGAGATGAAATGACCTCGGAATGGTCGCTTAAGCAGTGGCAGAAAACAAAATCTGATTATGTTCAACTGGCAACAGACCCTGATGAGACAGACCTTTTTCATCCTTGGAGTATCCATACATGCTCCCCGGATAAAGTGTGATGTGTTGGCGTAGATTGGTTGTATTCGCTTCGACCCGTTCAAACTCAATTCGAAAATCACGGGCTTGTCATTGAACTTCGTAAAACACGTCTCATCGCCACGCCAACCAAGTTATAGGCACGTCTCCAAGTTATTGGGGAGCCGAGAGGCGAGTGTGGGCTGCTTGGGCGCATCACGTGACACGCCCCCAATTCCAGCCTGTCTGAATACGGAACAACGCCAGCCTCTTTCAGAGTGTCTATGATGTAGAAGCCGTACTTAGCCCTTTATGACGTTGTCGGCATGGTCTTCCTGTCTTTTTCTTGATTGGTACTTCTCGTGGTCGATGCCAGTGGACTTCTGCATTTATCTAAGACAGTCACGACCTTTAAATTTCCTTGTCTTTCCAGTGACAGAAAACACCGACTTCATAAAGCAGCTTTCCTCATTGACTTGGGGATTGTCTGCCGCAAACCTAAACCAAACAAATGAAGGCACCAGAGCCCACTCCATGTCTGGCGCACACCCGTACATCCCCGGGCCCGTCTTATCGCACATGGCCAATGCATCACTAAGCATTGTTTATTCGAAGCATTATCTAGCAGCAGCAAAATGTCCCAATCGTCGCGGAAAAAGCTTCTTCTAATGGGCCGGTCGGGATCCGGCAAGTCGTCAATGCGTTCGATTATTTTCTCCAACTACTCGGCGTTCGACACCCGCCGTTTGGGTGCCACTATTGATGTCGAGCACTCCCACTTGCGGTTTTTGGGCAATATGACTTTAAACTTGTGGGACTGTGGCGGCCAGGACGTGTTCATGGAAAATTACTTCACGGCGCAGAAAGACCACATTTTCAAGATGGTGCAGGTGCTCATCCACGTGTTTGATGTGGAGTCGAAACTGATCAACAAGGACATTGAGATCTTTGTCAAGGCGCTTACCAACCTTCAGAAATTCTCGCCCGATGCCAAGATCTTTGTGTTGCTACATAAAATGGACTTGGTACAGTTGGATAAGCGTGACGAGCTTTTCCACATCATGATGGACAAGTTGCAGAAAATCTCCAACCCGTTCCACTTCAAACTAGTGGGCTTCCCCACCTCCATCTGGGACGAATCTCTATATAAGGCGTGGTCACAGATAGTGTGCTCGCTCATTCCGAACATGAACTTGTTCAACAGCAATCTCCTCAAATTCAACGAGGTTCTCGACGCGGAGGAAATCATTCTCTTTGAAAAAACGACGTTCCTTGTCATTTCGTCCACTGCGTCCATCCAGCGCCAGAGCCAGGCTCAGGGGTCGCATCTCTCCAACGGCTCGCTCGATGCATTGGACCCGAAGCGGTTTGAAAAAATCTCCAACATCATCAAGACTTACAAGCAGTCGCTCGGCAAGCTCCGGTCCAACTTCCAGAACCTTGTCATTCGCGGCTCCAACGGGCTGCACTTCTATGTGGACTTTCTCACCGACAACTTGTTCATTATGATTGTGCTTCGTGACCGGGGCACGGACAAATCGCACAGACACGCGCTGGAAGATTTGTTGATTTTGGAGAACGTCAAGGCTGCCCGCAAATGGTTTGAGAAGATCGAAGCAGGAAAGTGAGCACATTAATAGCGATGGTGTTGTCTTTCTGATCTTTTTCCTGTTATCAGTGGCTGAAAGTGATGGGCGTTTGGGATATCCCCTAGGGAATTGCAATTGCGCGTATCCCTGGGAGAAACTTTGAGTCGTTTTGCTTTGGTGGGGCTACTCTTGTGGCCAGAGAGATTATTAGAAGGGGGTCGGGGTTTACACTTGAAGCATGAGTCAGGAATTTAAGCAGCAGAGGAGGGCTCGTTTAGATGCAGTGTGGCGCCATTGAGCCCCAAGTCCATTGCAGCTGACTTTGGATGGGAGTTGGTTTCTATATTCTTGAAGATGGGTATTTGGTTCATTTGGTCGGAGGTCGATGGTCCAGAATTTAGATGTATTCTCTGACGCGTCTTTAGAAGACCAATGGAAATGGGCATCACTGAGTCTACCGAGTGTATTTCTCTCCTGGTTATCTTAATACGCGTGCCTTGCGCTCCTAGATCTGTGCTGCCAATCCATGTGTGTTTACGCCAATAAATGACTGGGAATGAAGGTAGAGGAGAAAAAATAGGAAGAAATATTAGGAGGATATATTAGGAGGAAAGACGAGAAGATGTTAGGAGAAAGAAGAAAGAGGAAATGTCAAGAGTAAATACGAGGAGGACGTACCAAGAAAAAAGAAGAGGACAAAACACTGACTACGCCATCACCTTCCTGGCAACATTCCCGCAACCACAATCCAAAATGGTGGGACCAACGCGTAGATCCTGCGTCCTCAATAATGTTTTTTTTGGTATGCACCTTTATAACTACCGTTTTGGTGAACAGCCATGTTCCGCCGACTCCCCCGGCACAGATCGGTGCAGACCCACCCAGAAATCCCGGAAGACTTTTTCCGGCGTCGAAGAATCCAGAAAATCAAAATATTCATTTATACAAACGCCATGACAACAATAGGTGAAAGAGCGGCGCATGCAGTCCCTGCCGTCGTGTCCACGCGTGTCTTCGCTTCCGCTTTTCTATACGAGAATCGCATAGTAGAACGAGGACATTTCTTCATCGAAGCTCAACCCGAAAAATAACAGTGAACCCCCTTCCCTGGCCACTGCTATTCCTGCTGCATCCGACCACGTGACCTTGCCATTGGCCCCTTGAAAAAAAAACATCGTTTTCCGAGCCACAAGAGCCCTCTGTTTCTCCGTCCCACGGCGTCTATAAACACAAATCAAACCCACCCATTGCGCCACAAAAATGGGAAAGTTGCTCCAGCTTTTGGCCCACCCGACCGAGCTCCTTGCGGCGGTACAGTTTTTTGGGTTCAAGAAATCGATGTTTCCGCTTGATCTCAGCCAGGCGCCCCCCACTCTCGTGACATGCTACAAATATTTGGACATTACCTCGCGTTCCTTTGCCGCGGTGATCAAGGAGTTGCATCCCGAATTGAGAGACGCCATCATGATCTTCTACTTGGTGTTGCGGGCCTTGGACACTGTGGAAGACGACATGACCATCGACCCGAAAATCAAGGTGCCCCTTTTGAGAAGCTTCCACGAGAAGTTGAGCACCAAGGATTGGACTTTTGACGGCAACGCCCCCACCGAAAAAGACCGTGTGGTTCTCACTGGCTTTGACAACATTTTGGCCGAGTTCCACAAGTTGAAGCCCGCCTACCAGGACATTGTCAAGCGCATCACCATGAAAATGGGCAACGGCATGGCCGACTACATTTTGGACGACAACTTCAACACCAACGGTGTCAGCAGTGTGGCGGACTACGACTTGTACTGCCACTATGTGGCCGGGCTCGTGGGCGAGGGCTTGACTGACTTGATGGTGTTGGCGAAATTTGCGGACTCCGATGTTTTGGCCGACAACTACCGCTTGTCCAACTCCATGGGGCTTTTCTTGCAGAAGGTCAACATCATCCGCGACTACTATGAGGACTTGGAGGACGGCCGGTCGTTCTACCCACGTGAGATCTGGCTGAAGTACACCGATGCCTTGCCCAATTTCCACAACAAAGCTAGTGAGCATGCGGCCGGCGTTGCGTGTATCAATGACTTGGTGCTCAATGCTTTAGGCCATGCCATCGATGTGTTGACGTACTTGTCGCTTATCAAGGAGGCCACCAGCTTCAACTTCTGTGCCATTCCACAGGTGATGGCCATTGCCACCATGGCTGAGATCTACAACAACGAAAACGTGTTGCACAAGAACGTGAAGATCAGAAAGGGCACCACGTGCAAGCTCATTCTCGGCTGTAGAACGTTGCCCGGCGTGGTGGAGATCTTCAGACATTACTTGCAGGTGATCAACAAGAAGTCCGACGTCAGAGACCCCAACTACTTGAAGATTGGCATCAAGCTCGGCGAGATCCAGCAGTTCTGTGACATCATGTACCCACCGGAAGGCTCGATCCCACGTGGTGCCAAACGCAGTATGACGAAGATTAACGAGAACATTGAAAAGAGAGGCACTTTCGACGTGGATGGCGCCAGATTCATCCAACAAGAAGTGGTCAAATGCAGAGGAGCTGTGTTCTTGGTGGTGGCCGTGTTGGTGACCCTTGTGCTCCGTGTCATTTTGTGAACTGCCTGTTTGGGTGGCAGACAAGCTTGGCTGTGGTGCAGTTCTTATACGATGACCCCATAGACGTTTGAAGATTTTGTTGTGTGGGTTTTAGACGCTCAGCCAGCTGCGCAATCTTTTGTTGCAGCCGTGGTGGCTGGCGATTGTACGATGGAAGCGATAGATGTAACGACTAGGCCAGCTGGAGATCGGGCTGGCCTATTACTAGTCTTTTGATAGTCACTATTGTTTAGAAACTTTGTTCTACTATTAAGATGCGATCTTAGAGCAGAAGCGCACAGACAGCAAACATTGTGAGATACGTTGCTGCCGGTGACATACTCATTGCGTAGACAGCACAATGCCATGCTGGACCATACAATACTATGGGAGGTGCTTATTGCACAAATATGGATGCTATGGACCGCAGAGTTAGTCTGGGCCCACCAGGCATATCAATTCCCGAAAATGGGCATTGACAATGTTGCAAGCAGGATTTCTGGAAAGCCACTAGGATCTCCGCCTATTTCAATCACCCTTTCTTCTCAGGAGCAAGTGTACTAAATTTTGACAACTCAGCTGAATCAGGGAGTATTAAAAGCCCGATAGGAGAGAACGTAGAATCTTCAACGTACTCGAGACCCCTATGAGGTTTAACATAACTCTTATCATATCATACTGTACACTCCTTCAGAGAGGCCAAATGATCCAGATAGGCCTTTCTTTGTAGCGGTTGGAATACGTGCCGATAGTCATATGAGCAGTCTTGGTCTGTCTTGCCAAGCCCTGGCTGATAGCCCCTGAAGCGTGGTAAATTTTCGAATTAAGCAAAATGATCATGCGTCTACTTTTTCAACATGGACAGAATCATACAGAATTACGCTGTCAATATGGGGGCGGGCATGTATAGTTAGCATACATAGAGCACGGCAGACAGAATTACCGCCAGAAAAAAGCACAACTCTTTTCTGCAAGATTCATGTGAGGCGTGCCGCTCAGTTTGCCCGACCTAAAGTCCTATGCTGGGAATATTACTCCAATCCTGCCTCTGGGTATTTGCAATGGCTGACAATAATGCAAATGCTGACAAGCCTAAATCGGCACCAGGCCGAACGATTATAAATGGGCTGCTTGGTCCAGCCATACTTTTTTGAAATACGACTGTTTTTTTAAAAAAAAATACAAGTTGAGGCACCTCAGGTCCGAGGCCATGGCATGCGCCTCGCACTAGCGCACCGACCATAAATATGCAATAAGTATGTGATATCACCTTCAGGCAAATTTCTGATTCTGGCTGGTTTTTCGATTTTGGAAGACAGTGTCATATTTGAGAAGCTGGCAAGGCACCCACAGCCCCGGGGAATCGCCAAACCAATATAGGTCATGCAGACGGGTCTGGCAAGGCTCACCCACAGCCCCGGGTTTCTCCACATCAAGACTAGAAAAGATAAGCGGTCGGCCGCGCAACCCCAGAAACATACTTGAAAACCACAGCCTCTCATAGTTGGAAATACAGATTCTCATGCTGAGAAACCACAGCTTCTCATACTAAAAAAGCTACAGCTTCGCATACTTAGAATTACAGCTCCATACTCAAAAAGCTACAGCTTCCCATACTCGAAAACCACAGTTCCCCATACTCGAAAACCACAGCCTAAAAAACCACAGCTTATACTTAGAATTACAGCTTCCCATACTTAGATTACAGCTTCCCATACTAAAAAACCACAGCTTCTCATAGTTGGAAATACAGATTTTCATGCTGAGAAACCACAGCTTCCCATACTAAAAAACCACAGCTTCCCATACTTAAAGCCACAGCTTCTTGAGAAGACCCAGTTTTCCTGAACTACACCTTTTATCCCAGAGATACAGAACCACAGAACCACAGAACCACGGATCTACCAACTCGCCCATTCCAACTGCCAGGCCAAATCCAACCAATTCGCTAAGCACTGATTACGCCTCGCTTCGCCAACCCACCACCCCACCTCCACTTCCCAGAAATGCCAGAATTGCTCCTCCACGTTAAGGAAATCCGATGGTCGCCCTACGAGCAGGTCCTGCCGATTCTTCTCCAGGACACCAACGGACCTTGTCCCTTGATCGCTCTCGTGAACACGCTTATTCTCACCAACGACATCGAAAAACGCACCGTGGATTTGCAGGAACCGGCCGGGCCTTCCCGGGATCTGGAGCCTCAGGCACCGCCAGCCACCGCCGCATCCTCGGCACAAAAAGAGCAGCAAAGTGTGCCCGGGGCTCGCCGTTTGAACGTGGCGCAGTTGCGCAGCCTCCTCAATCTGAACATAGGCGGCACGGTCGAAGTGCCGCAGATCCTCTCGTCTTTGGGCGACCTTTTGCTCGATATCCCGGACACGGACTCGGCGGTTTTGAACGGGCTCTTGGAGTCGCTCCCGCTTCTCCACACCGGCCTCGACGTGAATCCAAACCTCACCACCGGCGGGTTTGACCCCGAGGAAATGGCGTCGCAGATCTTCCGTGTGTTTGGGCTCAATTTCGTGCACGGCTGGTGCCGGGAGCCCTCCGGCGATGCCGATTTGGATGCGGTGTTTGCCCGCCACCAGACGTTCGAGGCCCTCCAGGAATACTTGCTCACCAGTGCAGAAAACACGGTGCAGAAAACGCACATCGAGGCCTGGGTCCAGGACAACGCCTCGCAATTGACGGCCCACGGGCTCCGGCGCATCGACGAGAAGATGCAGCCCGACTCGCTTGCGATTTTCTTCCGCAACAACCACTTCCTGACGTTGTACAAGGCGCACAACCAGGACCTCTACCTCCTCATCACGGACGACGCGTTCTTGAAGCATGCAAACTACGTGTGGCAGTCCATCAACTCGGTCTCGGGCGGCGACGACCTCTATTTTGCAGGGGACTTCACGCCTCTCATGGACGGCGCAGACCCTGGCGAAGCGGCCGGGGTGGATGAGAGTCTTGTGTTCGCCAAGCAGTTGCAGGAAAAGGAGGATATCGCGTACGCGCAGAAATTGCAGCTGAGCTACAAGAAACGGGCCGAGAAGACTCCGTTCTCTGGTGCAGGCGAGGGCCCAGACCCCAGTTTGCCGCAGCTTGAAGACAAGAAGATGTTGCTGAAGAAAAGCTCGAAAGGCCTGTCCAAGGAAGCCAGGTCCAAGAAGAAGGACACATGTGTGATCACATGAGCCTGGCACATGGGTCGAAAGGAATGAGCCGAGGCAGAAAAAGAACCACCCAAAAGCCACGTCAAGCACGCACATGAAACCCCATACGCCAAGCTTCTCAATCAAAGATATTTTCTCTCTCAGGCAAGGGGTCTCTCGCCGAGACTCCTGCAGTGCAATCGTAGCTCGTTCTCTATGATTCTGAGTTCACTGTACCGTATATTGTAGAGACTTATAAAGGACTCCTTGAAAGCCAAACCTTGGAGTATACGAGTTTTGATCGTCTGATTTGCTCATGACTCAAGTGTCTCGGCGACTTGTTTTCGAGCCTGAATTGTGCTTCACAAGAGGCGTGTATGTTTTGAAACTTCGGAAACCCAGGCAGAAAACCGAAATGCCAATTTTCAGAAGGAAGATTCTTATGAAGCTAGAGACCATTTGCCTGGCCTGTCAAGTACGTGGTGAAAAATACTGGAAGGGGCAGGGTAGTCTCGAGAATTATTCACCTGAAAGTGATTGTATGCTTTCAAGTACAAGAGTTAAAAAAGATCAATTCCTTATGTGGTTCAAGGATTTAAAGAGAGCAATGATATATTTACCATTGAGAGGAAAGAAGGATACTATGTATTTTTGTGGTGAGAGCCGTGGTATCCTTCTGTTGTGTAAACCCTACAATGACGAGAGACGTCAAAAACATGTTCTGTCAAAATTAAAGGCACAAACAAATAGCAGAATCTGAGCAGTACATCCTCATATAGCATATATGAAAGTCTATGGTTCGTCAAAGGCTTGACTATAGCGCACTGACGGTGTCCTCATGTTTTTAATTAGCACGCACTGCAGATTTCTTTGATGGAAAGGTGGAGGATCAAATTAATCTCGTAAATTTCTCTCATATGCAGCTCAGCATATTATATCCACCGTCCGACTCCTCCTTCGACAGGGTCAAGTGGTTCTTGAACAAATGATTTTTTTCTCGCTATGTTTGATTTTTGATGCAAGAAACCATCAGTAGACAGTCTGACCCCAGCACACCTCGAATAGTGAATCGGCACCCCGGGTACAACATGAAACTCCAACATATGTTGAAAGCACCCAAAATGATTCAGTAGATGAATGGATTCTTTAGAATCTCCCATTTTGTCGGACTTTGTCATGAATCATATGATCCTCTACAAGCAGCCCGGAAGTATGGCACTAAAAGTATTACTTGGTTTCATTTTATTAAAGCAACTTAAGATGATTGTATCATACAATGATGCGTCATACATCCGCCACGAATTTTACACATGGCTATACTCGGCTTGTAAATGCTACCTGGAATAGCTGTTTGGTTGATAGCTCACCATAAAGGCGGTGCATTAGGCTGTTTCCCAAAGTCCCCTTCCAGCAAGGCCTTGAGTTCGGCTAGCTGACAATAATATGTGAAGCCCACATCATGGCATTAAATAACTACCCGGCTCTCAAGCATCGCATTGAAACCAGCTGTCTTCATCAGGCGCCGCTTATTGTTTTTTCCATTTCCAAGTGCAGTCTTCCGCCTCGTTCCAAACCCCAATCCCAAATAAATAGGTCTATATCAACGTGCGGCAGCAGGATTCAAGCTTGGCAGAAAGCTTGACATTGCTCCCAAAGCTTAATACAGATTCGAGCTTGTTATAGAACGTGTGCCCTGGAAAGTCTTTACCAAAGCTGATTATAGTCATCAAAGCTTAGCACAATCACCAACATCATTATTTCCAACTTTCACCATAACCAAACCTCATCATAGGTCCTTATGCTAATCATAATCACCAAACCTCATCATGATTACCCAACCTCATTGTGTTTACCAAACGTCATCATGATTGCCAAGGTTCAGTCACCAAAACTCATAGTTATTACCAAACCTCATCATAGCCATCAAAGCTCGCTATAATTAAAAAAACATTATAATTACCAATACCAAGTTCATCATGATTACCAAAGCTTACTATATAGATCTAGCCAGAGACCGCTAGTCACTATTGCCCAAGCTCATCACATCAGTCAAAGCTCATCAGACCTGCCAAAGCTCATCAGATTTGCCAAAGCTCATCAGATCTGCCAACGCCCATTATAGTCATCAAACCCCATCATGGTTACCAACACCAAAGTTCATCATAATTACCAGCGCTTATTAAACAAATCTTTCCATAGACAGCTCGTCGCCATTGCCAAAGCTCATCCGATCTGCCAAGGCGCATCCAAGCACGCCACACCAGCCAAACCTACTCCGCCCCCTCAGCACCGCCCGGCGCCTCGGCCTCCTTGGCTTCCGGCTCGTCGTCGTCGTCGTCGTCGTCGTCGCCCTCGTACTCCATGGGGTCGTACTCGGAGCGCGCGTTGTCCATCTTGCGCAACTCGTTGGTGTTGGGCTCGCGCAAGCGGAAGTCGATCGCGTCCATGGTGCTGTCGGCCAAGAAGCGGTTGATCTCCGTGTTGGCCGAGGCGCGGTGCTTCTTCAACTCCACGCGGCCGGAGATCGGGCAGTAGTACGCGGCGCGGCGCTTGCGAGGCGCGGGCTCGCCGCCCGCGGGCGCGTCCGACACAAAGCGCAACGCCAACTCCTCGTACGGCTTGGAGAACGGGTGGTACAGCATGTCGTAGTTCTTGTGGTGGCGGAAGCGGAACGCGGCCTCGCGCGCGTCCTCGCCGTCGAGCAAGTTGGCCGGCTGCTCCTTCTCCGTGGACTCCAAGCGCAGGCGCAAGCGGCGCACGGCCTGCCGGTCCTTCATCTGGTAGAAGCTGACCCACTCGCCGTCCTCGGACGTGATGGGCTTGTAGATGGCGCACGCCAACGCGTCCGCGTGCAAGGCCTCGTCGAAGCGGGCCTTCTCGCGGCTGCACTGCGCCTGCCGCTCGCGGGCCATGGACGCGGAGCCCGCGAACTTGACCGCCAAAAACGTCGTGTCCATGGACGCCGTGTCGGGCAAAAGCGGGAACACCAGCACCGCGCGCAACTTGGTTTTGCGCGGGTGGCGCAACGCGCCGTACGCCGCGAGCGACTTCTGCGACTCCTCGAAACTCTGCTCCACGGCCCGGAGCTGCGAGTCCGGGTCCACGCGATCGCCGGCGTCGTCGGCCGCCGTGTTCGCGGGGCCCTTCTCGTCGGGCCGCGCCGCGGACTGCCGCTCAGCAATGTATTCCGTGCGCCGCAAGAACGACACGCCGGGCTCGGACTTGTTGATCTTGCCCACGCCGGCGTCGCGCAAAAACGCCCGGTCTTTGGGGTGCAACGCCGGGGTGTGGGCGGCAAGCGCGGCCGCGGCCGGGGCGTCCAAGAACCCGGGCGCCAGGAGCGGGTTCAAGCCCATGCCGTACTCCTCGTCCACCTGCGCGATGTACGCGTTGAAGTTGTCTTTGCGGAAAAGCGACGACAAAAGCGCCTCGTTTTCGGCCTGCGCACTGAGCGGCTGTGTGCTGTTGTACCGGAGGAACTTGGGGTTCAAGGGCGGCGGCGGCAAGTGGTTGATGTAGCGCACCTTGGCGATGTAGTCCTGCCTCACGGGTTTCGGTGGTTTGGACATGGCGTGGGCGGAACGGTGGGGACGAGGTGAGGTTGTAGTAGTGAGGTTGAGGTGAAGTTGAGCGTTGGTTTGTATGGCGGGTCGTGCGCACACCGGCCGAGTCGGTCGATGTGCAAGAAACGTACTCCCATGACTAAGTAGGCCGTTTGTTATGGGCGGGCAGAGTGGCATTGATCGTGGCGCTTCCTTCTGTTTGATTTTTTTATGCTGACAGGGTGTGCCTTTTATGGGTTTCTGTATGACTATTGCCTATGTTTTTGGCGAATACCTTCATAGATGTTATCTCAGTGATCCTGCGGGTAAGACTGGAGTATAAGCTGGCTGCGGGCAGGGATCCCAACTCCGCCGGGAATATTAAGTAGAGCACTAAGTAAACACCCTACAATATATATATATATATATATATATCTTGAAACAGATTTAGCATTCATAAGGTATTCGGATAGAATCACCTCCTTTGAGTTTTGTGTTTGGCATATTGCTTGTATTGGACCATATTTGATTGTCTACATTTCACATATCTATTTCCGCGTGAAAATCAATTTTTTTTTCGAGCGAAAAATAAACCAATATCCCTGCAAAGGCCAGTCTCCGGACCGCCGCTGCGGCTGGCTGGGATTTATTTACGGTACGGTTCTTGACATGGTTTCGGGTTTTCGACACGAGGCTATTCATGAATTGGATCAATAGAAGTTTTGTGACTAACGAGCTCTCTTTTGGGTACTCCTTTTGGTGGCCGTTCATAAAAGAGGTGAATGTGCTGATCCATACCAAACAGGTGGTATCCTCCATCACATCATTCGAAATGTCTACTAAGCTTACAGTGAACACCATACTAGAGTATGATAGTTATAATCACGGTGGAGACGGCCGTGTCCCACCAAAGAATCTCAACTCATTTACTTATCTTTACACAAATCAAGGAAACATTCTTTTTGCATTGTCGACCGTCCGTGTTCATGGCGGTATCAACTTACGAGCAAACAGCTGGATCAAGAAGGTTAGAGACATCTTTCAGCAAGGGCTATCTTTATTGAGTCCAAGACCATATCACCAGTTATCTATTTGACGCTAGTTTGCGGAAATGCTCGAAAGGCTTCATGCACCTCCAGCTCTACTTCTGGGTTTATCGACATAATCGGCTGGAGAGTGATATTTGTTAAAGATTTCTGAAATGCTTTTCTTCTGACTGATTGAATTCCATGCATGAGCTTCTATAGTTGCTCGCTGGAGCATGAAAATGAACATGGGCTCTCCGATGCAGATGAAATGAGCCATTTGTTTTTTTGGTTTAAATCAAGGCCTATCATACATCTACGATTCTTTCATGAAGCTCTTGGAAACAACATCGTCACCTGTGTTAATTTATAAAGCAGCGTCAATTGGGCTTTAGCTTACACAAATGGCCCTGGATCTCGAATTCAATTATAAAGTACTTTACTCGTTCATCCTTCAAGAATGACTACCAAAGTCGTCCATGGATCCTCTTGCTGATAGGCATTCTGAATACAAAAGGATAGCGAACGAAGAAAATATCGTAGCTGCTTGCCCTGTTCTGGCTTTCGGTTGCAAATACCCCTTTCTTTTTTGATATCATGACTGATACTCACCGTTCCCAAAAAAACAACCACTGGTCCAGTTACACTGAGCAAGGCGGCCGTCCAGACACCACCCGACGATCTAACTACCTAGGCCCCCTATTTATCTATCCGAGTTTTATTTCGAACAATCCCCCGAATGTGCAGGGTGGTTCGAGTGAGTTTAGAGGACATGAGCATAATGTGTTGATACTATGCGTTCTGGTTTACTTGTTTGATACCTCCATGCATTCTTTCGCCAGAGTTTGGGAGCATATAGTGATCGATGCGTCTGTTGGTTTAGAATAATAGTGGGAAAAATGAAAGAATATCTTCAACGGACATCTCAGACAAATAACATTGCAACAACCAATTGCTTATTTCGAAAAAAACATCAGAAAAGTCCGAAAAACATGAACCTAGTTGATGGAAAACAACATGTACTTATACAACTTCATCGATACTAGCTCTAGCTAGAAGTCTGAAATTGATTCTAATAATCTTCAAAACGTCCAAGGATAATCGATTTGGTTGCGCTAACCTTACTGCTGCTCACCCTTTCATCCAATAATCACACCCCTTCATAATCTCCAATGATCTATCACATGGTCTCATAAACTACGAGACTTGTCTTGTTGGTAATGCCGAGATCCTGCCATCAATATCTCAATGAAATATTACTCGATAATTTGTTTTGTTCAGCTGACTTCGAAGACACCTAATCTCGTGCCCTGCAACTTCTTCTTGTTGGCCTTTCCAGGCGTTACAAAAATAGACGGAATGGCCCCGAAATTGGTTTTGGGCTGTCGATATCTAACATTTGTTTGAGAGTACGGGCTTTGAGAGCAAAATCCCATCCCACTCTTCTACTCTGAAACTCTAAAGTTAACTCCCGTGAGCACTTGGTCGATGTGTAATTAATTGCAACCCCCACTTCCATCTTTTACCCACATAAGCTGAACGGACATTTTAATTGTCCCCTCATTCCCGGCATTTGCCTGGTGGATCTCTAAACCTCAGACTTGTTCGCATTTCTGAAAAAAATCAACTTGGTCAAGGCTTTGTTCTGTAAGTAAGATAAAGGCGACAATTTTGCAACTGAGGCGCACTCGTCTGATGATCAATTGATCAAAAACCAGAGACGCACATCACCATATCCATAAGTACGTGTTTGGACTGCCATACTCGAAAGCATCCAGAGAGACGGCAGATTTCATGCCGCCGGTGGCTCACTCTCGGCAAACTACAAATGACTCTTGAAAAACTGTATCATTATCTATAACTCTGGCATTAACCGCAACTGCTGGAATATCAGCACTTGGTAACATCTATGGAGAGTCCTTAAATTCCGTAGGATCAGAGTTATGCCACGTGAAAACCTTTTTCGAGTCTGGCTTGTCCAAAACGTCCAAGATGTTTGGATCCAAGTCGATTTTCCCCAAGTTGGAACCCTCGTCCAAAGCATCGCTGGACCCACGGCCCTCCGGCAAGACCTCGAAATTCTGCTTGATTCTCTCCTTCTTGGAGGTCTTGGCCAACACAACAAACCCCTGGAGATAAGACCATTTCAAGAGAATCTCGGCCTTGGGAATCTTGTACTTATGCTCCAAATGCAACAACTCAGGGTCGCTGAGATTCTGGCCCTGGGTTAAAGGTGAGTACGCCTCAATGACAATTCCCTTCAGCGTCAAGTACTCCCGCAACGCCACTCTGGGCAACCAAGGGTGTAATTCCAATTGGTTGACTGCAGGCACCACCACAGGTCCTTCCTGAGCTAGGATTTCCTCGATGTGCTCTACGCCATAGTTCGAAACGCCAATCGACCGGATCTGAAGCACGCCGTTGTTTGGATTGTGATTGAGTTCAGACAACGCCTTCCATGTACCAACGCGTTTTTCCTTGCTGGTCAAGGGCGAGTGCACCAAAACCAAGTCTACATAGTCAATATGTTCCTTGACCTCGGCCGCGATCTGCGCCACGGCGTTCTTCGTTCCGTCGTAGCCCTGATCAGAGTTCCAGATTTTGGTGGTGAACCAGATATCTTCTCTGGATACATCTTCGTGGTCTTTGATAAACTGCGCAATTGCCTGTGCCGCCTCTTTTTGATTACCGTAAATGACAGCACTGTCGATATGACGGTATCCTTGCAGCAAGGCCTCGTAAACCAATTCGAAGGTTTCCGCGGGCAGTAATAAATACACCCCAAACCCGGCCACAGGAATATACTGCCCATTGTTGAGCTTGTACTTGGTGGTTCTGGTCAATTGCTTTGCGATTGTCTGAAGCGTCATGTTGGATGATGTGTTCTCAAAGTGATTTTGAATTTAATGTAATAATTTTAGTTGAAGGAAAGAATAGTGTGATTGTTCCGCTTGGTGGTTATCTAATTTCTGAATTTTGGGTTCTGAGACAAAGGAAGCGCTATGCTCTTATATATCCAAAAAAATGAGATTCATCACTTATGACTTATGACGCGGGGGAAACCTCTAGAAGCATCCGGCAAGTTTGCTCGCTTTTGCGAGTCTGCCACAGTCACCTAAACAAGCGAAGTTCTATAGATTGATTGCTTTCACCTTTTCAAGTGCAGGCACTGGGGTGATCGGTTGCGTAATTTCGCGCAGCTCGTCGAAATTCAGTGGCGCTACCGTGACGTGCCTGCACAATGTATTCCACGTGTTTTGGCTATGACAAAAGGTTTAGCTTGGCAGTGGTGGGGTGATTCCTTTAAGAAAAATGAGACAGGTTTGGTGGCTCGTAGAGTTGTCAAAAGATGCTCCGATATTTTCGATTTCTCACAGCGCGTAGCCTATATATCTATTTGGAGAAGGAACTCAATATTTTAATGTCTGGAAGGCAACTCTACGTGTATTCAATTGTTAGTCTTTTATTTTAGTTTCGATCTATGAGATACCGTGGATAGATGTATTCATCTTCAATTTAGGTTTTGTGATGCATTCAAAATCTCGGAGTATAGCATACCGTCGTTGTACTTGAACGCCGCTGGAATGATGTTGGGTAGACATTCAAGAGCAAATCATGGAAAACACCTATCATAAAGTTTACCCGGTGTAGTTGGGTATTTTGTGGAAACCATGCTGAGTCACTTTTTAAAACGCGCAGAAAGTTCTGTATTTTTGGCATGGCCCTTTCTGATTGCTACAAGGGCATTGTTATAAGCATAAAGTATCTGCTTATTTCAATGACTGATTGACCAAGATTTTATGTCGGAAGAAAGTCCATAAATCTTGTTTGACGTGAGTCAAATGAGAAATGAATCAAGTTGAAGGAAAGTAGAGTTTACAATTTTGGAGAAACCACATTCAAAAAGCATGCTTCAAAAATGGTTCATTGATTGAGGTATATACCGAGTCCTTTCTCGTGCCTTTCGAAATCTAACCTGAACTCAATAGATCTTTTCTTATCATCAGAGAAGTTAACACCCAGGTAACACATCTCCCAGACTATGAGGATCAATCCAAAAACCCGAGACACTAAAAGAGCCTTGAAGCTGTTCATTTTGTACATTTTCTTGCAAGCATACTTGGGCAATTTTATTACTCAAATACCTCTGGTGTAGCACAATTCATATGCCTTCACTTATTATATCCTGCTGCTTTCAGTAGAATTATCGCCCTTTCTTGAAAATCTCAGGTGTAAGAAAGAGCCTGAAGCGCGTGGAACACATTCATCTTCATATAGTTGTTTTCCCTCGATTTTTGCGTCCGGGACGCCCCTAGAATTTGAATCAGCTCGCAAGGCTGGTCAAAATCATCATGAATAGATATGTTATTGCTTTCATTTATAAAACAGCGTGGAGAATCACGCGCCCAAAGTCAATAGTATTGTTCAGTATCTCTTTAATTATCCCAAACAAAAAGGGAATTATTCGTCAACTAATGAATTTCGGGCCCTTTTTTAGTGGGGAGTATTATTTGGCAGCTGCCCATAATTCCTATAGTACAAATGCCGCATCAGCAACCTCTACATCCAAACGCTTATGAGCACAATTTCGCAGCCATTCAGCATAGGCCGGCGGGCAAAAAAAAAACATGGTTCTCATGTGTGTTAACCGAATCTACACAAAGTCCAATAACTGTCACTTTCGGAGCTGAAATTGAGATGATAGCATTTGATCTGAACCAACATCATGTTCTCATATTCTTTTCTTTATTTATTTTTGAATTCCTGGGAATTGACTGCAAACATCAATTCTGTTCACATCTCTGTTGAATTAAATGCTTCTTCTTCCCTTTCTTTCACTTCTGGTGTTACAATTACAAGTACAGACAGTCCATCCACTTTTCCTTCGAATAGTTTTAAGCTCTTCCGGGTTACCCGAGGGCGACTTTGAAGCTTTTTCTGTTGAATCTCTCATCCCTGTACTCGGCTGATGTACCTCGGAATCCACTCATGTCGAGGCTGACAAAATTCACAAGCTGAAGAAAACTGTTGTCACAAATTACTTGACTTGAATGTTGTGGGAGATTGATGGACAGAATTTTAAACATTTCTCTGCTGTCTGTTGTCAACCCAGATGACTTTCGGTAGCAACTTCAGAAAGTGCCGCAATCAAATGGGGACAGAAACCGGTTCTGCAGTTGTGAGAGAGCCTTTCGTGGATGATATTAACCACACCTCGACTCAAGAAGTGCTACTGCTAATTTTTCTCCTCCAGAAATCATTTCGAGCTTTTCTCAAGAAAGCTGAGAGTGTTTTGTAGAAGTGTCACCTTTTTTTTCAAGTTCTGAGTTCAGCTGTGAGTCACCCTTTTTGCACCTGATGATACAAAAGACACGACACAGATAACAAAGCAAGGTTTGACTGTCCGCCCAAAAACAGAATTTTATGCATACCTCAGATCATCCATGAGGATTCATACCTATCCCGGTTTGCCAGAGATGTGAGGCTTAAGAACAGCAAAAAAGCCACGCCTCGACTTTGATCCCTCACACTGCCATTCACAAAAATTTAGAGAGCTTGAACAGATTAATTAGTATCAACGAGTTGTCGACCGGATCCAACGCTTTATTTATATTCGTGAGTTGCGCAAAGTTTAGCTCTTGCCACCGATATTCGGATTCTTCACAGTTTTTGTAGAGATGGCGAAGAAAAGTGTGGCGCCTCAGTTGTATAGACTTGGTGTGTCCAAAACTGGCACTGCAAATCTGACATTTCTCGGGGTAAGATCCGGCGTGGACATATGGTCCGAAATCGAAGTGTTTAATGGACGATTGTACCTTTTCAACAAGTGCGCTATATATAGTGCTTTCCGAAAGTGTTTCCACCGCTTGTTCTGACGAACGTGGGATATAATCAAACGGAGCAATGTATCAATATCAGGGTTTGCTTTTCATGCATTTGTGTCTGTTCTTCTTTATTTTCTTATCTTTCTATAAAGAAACATGCATTAAAGGAGACCGCTGTTCGGAGACAGGGTCAAAACTAGAGAACCATAGAACACTCCCAATGGGTACTTTTTTTTTTTTGGTAGATTCATCTGATTAAAGGGGCAAAACTATATAGCAAATATATATATAAAACCTTTAAACAGCTCCCAGCTACGTACCAAGTGTCTTAGCTCGGCTCGTCCCCTTCCGTTAGTCACGGCCTGGACAGTCCTCATGGCACGTATCTGTTTATGTATTGGATTTTACGTCATCGACTCCTAGGATAGGTCTCCTTTAGTAGTCACTTCAACTCAGATGGTTGTAGCGGACTAAAGGAGCCCACTTCCTGCGACTCGCCACGCCTTCTGGTGTAGACCTTGAAGATCGTGGTGACGAACCAATTTAATTTTGTTAAGTTTTCTAATGAATTGTCGGCTGGGGCCAACATTGAGTTCAAGCTCATGGGCTTGGTAAATTTTAGCTCTTCCCACCAGTATTTGGATGTTTCGCAGTTGTTGTAGATATGGCTTAGGAAAGCGTCGGTGGCGTCTCCGTTGTTGTGGATTTGTTCTGTGCAAAGATGGCATTGAAAATCTGCTGTGTCGCTCGGTAAGGTTCTGCACGGGACATATGATCCGTAATTGAAGTAATGGATGGACGACAGATCGTATCGCTTTATCCATTCTGCCTTATACAAGGCTTTCCAAAAACGTTTCCACCTTTTGGTCTGGCGGACCGCGGGACATAAGCGAACAAAGCGTTGTGGCATTATCGGGAGTTGCTTTTCTTGCTTTTTGCGACTTCAGGATTTGAAAGTCTCCTTACCAATGGCTTTTTTCTCTGCTTTGTCGAGGTATGGAGTTTTTGCTAGCATTTGTTTGATCTGCTCCTGATTGTACTTTAAGCTTTCTCCTGGTATCAGTATGGTCCTTGTCCTGGGTACCACTTCTTTCCACGCTTCGAAATAGGCGATTTCGTTTTTCGTGAAGGTCCACTCCAAGTTTGTGAAGAATTGACCTGTTTTGTCAAGCAAGAAGTTATACCATTCGGAGGTGGCTATATGTCTTAGCCTGGCTTGTTCGTCGTTCGATACGATTTTGTTCATGTGGTGAAGCATTCGTATTCTAAGATACTGATTGTGCCAGCTATCGTTGTTTTGGAGGGTGTCCGTCAACACCATTACCCGATGCCCTTTAAGTTGGGTCAGTAGTTCGATAAGGCCGTAGCCTCCGTTGCGAGGTCTCGCGTAAAGTTTAGACTTGTGGATTCCTGGGAACATTGTCTGAATTTTAAAATCCATTTTGTCGAGTTCTCTGGCGGTCATACACTGAATCAAATCTTTGTATACCGTTTTGGAACTGACAAAGATGTTTGTCCCCAATACTCGGCTGATCAAGTCGAGGCTCTGGTATCCCAGCTGTCGGGTCATGAATGGGAGGCTGGCTGTGAATTTTGTCCAGTTGACCCCTTTTATTGGAGTACCCAAGTATGTCGTCAGGTCTTTGAAAAGATAAGACTTGGGGAATCGGAGATAGTCTTGTTGAAATTTGGGGTAGCCTCGATGGAATCCGAGAAGTTTAGATTTTTCATAGCTTATCCTGCTATTGCTCACTCGCTCGAAAGCTGTGATTATCTTTTCGGTTTTTTGGTAGTCGTCTATATCATTGAGATATATGTTGACGTCATCTGCGAACGCATGGTACTTCATTGTTTGTAGTTGGACTCGTTGGTAGCAAAGTTTGATACCTTCAATCAGGTTGAGTTGAGCTAGAAACGGTTCTAGTGCCAAATTAAGAATAAGAGGCGAAAGGGGGTTTCCTTGCCGTGTGCTGCATTTTAGTGGAAAGTAAGAAGCATCCTTTTATTATGCAGACACACACTACTTAATTTTGAAACAAGTGCATTTATAATTGACCGTCAGACGTTTTGGGCAGCTTTACGATATATTCTTTTTCATTCATATAAATATATTATACTTGCACAGCTCTTACTCCGGTTGCGGCCATACCATGCAGGATACCATGCAGGAAGCACTGTTTCCCGTCCGATCAACGTTAGTTAAGCTGCATAGGGCCACACTGAGTAGTGTAGTGGGAGACCATATGCGAAATTGCGGTGCAGCAATCTTTTTTGCTTTCAAGTACGCTTAACGCATTTACGGTTGGGAGATCACCTCTTGAAAACTTATCCAATTTGTCTTCCCCTGAATTCCACAGCGCATTCCGGTACCTGCCTATCTCAACTTTCAGCGGCAACTTTAGATTCGACGCCCAATTTAAATAAGAATAACATATAATACATGTTGGGCTCTAATTTCCTGGCACTTACTTGTATGCTTTGAACACGCGAAAAGGTGCTATCATCTGTGTGTTGATGAACAAAATACATTTGACGTGAAAGAAATATATTATCTTTGGTATGCTTTTTATTCTTGAGATCACCAATTTCATCTACATCTGCAACGATGGTTCATGTCAGGCCAATGGGACGTGTTGAAAAAAGAACCAGCTGGCAGAAAAGTTCGTTTTCTTTTTGAAGATTTCTGTCTCTTGGTGTGTCCAAAACCTCTTGATCTTTTCTCTATTTTGCAGTCCATTGGTGCACTTGGCTATCGTCTTTTAATGTAAAGCCGTTTTTCCCAGGACAGTGGGCAAGGCGTACCAGCATCGTAGGCGCTTAGATCAAAAATAGAAACCCTATTTCAAAAAGCATTATCGGGCCAAGTCCTACGGTGGATTGAGTAGGGATTGTGAAGCTGGGGATTAGCCCGTGTGAGTTGCATATACGAGAGCCGCTGTTTTGAAAAGACAGATCAGGGCAGTGTTTGGGTCACCGGAGAGCTCTGCCCATCGGCTCACTGCTTTGGTAAAATGAAGCAACAAGTCGATTACTGGAAAGCGTGTTGTCGAGCGGGTTACTCTCTCATTGGTGGTGAAGTACTCCCAGGGCCATGCACTTTTAGAATGGGGTTATGCACCAGACTTGAATTGCGACTCCAGCCCGGTTCGGCAAAAAAAGCAAAAACTTTTTCGAAAACCGTGAGAATTCCCATTTTCAGACCCGGCCTGGGTCTACCACCGCATCAATAAAATTCTTTAAAAATTAGCATTGGCTCGAAATCGCTATATCAAGGTGTTGTGTCGGACAAAATTGGTCTATGTGATGATGCAATTTTTACTATCACTACCCTCACAGGCATGCAGGCCTAATCTAGGGTGGAATATTGGTGGGGGAATTGTATGATCTGTCAAATGTAGACTTTTTATAAAGTGCTTTTTAACGGCCAACATTGAACAGAAGCGCTTGAGATACATCCGATGTATGAAATAGTTTGAATTGTTCTGAATGGATATCTGCCTGATTATCCTCAGGTGCCGGCCTCTAATACTCTGACCCTCCAAGACCCCCGCCACTGGTCCTGCACTCGAGGCCCGGCCCCAGCCATCAGGACCATGTGCTGGGCAGCATAAGCCTGGGCCTGGCTCCAAGAAGCGGGCCACGGCTTTTAACAAGCCTGAGCAAATCCCAAAAACACCCAACCCACCCAAAACACCCTGAACCAAAAACTAACGAAAAAACCACCTAAACCACCCTGAACCAAAAACTAATGAAAAAAACACCCCGAACCAAAATCACCCCGAAAAATCACCCAATCCCGAAAAACCCAGAACGAGCATCGCAGTCGCGCCTCAGCGCCCGGGCCCAAGAAACGCGCGCACCAGGCCCGGCGCCATATTCCCAGGCCCCGTCTGGAAGCGCACCGGCCATACAGGCCCTAGGCAAGAACCCGCACTGGCCCCGCTGCCCCCGCCGCACCGGGAACACTCAAACATACCCCCCATACTTCTTGGGCTTCTGGCCCCACCGGATTTTTGGCGCAGCAGTGGAACAGCACACTGACACAGATCCCCCGAAATCGGCCCCCGCTCACACGCAAAAGACCCCTTTCGCTGTCTCCGCCGCTAGTACCCAGCGCAAGGTGCCCATACAGAGTCTTTGGACATCAAATCTCCGTCTTTGGACATCGAATCTCCGTCTTTGGACATCGAATCTCCGTCGTTGGACATCAAATCTCCGTCGTTGGACATCAAATCTCCGTCTTTGGACATCGAATCTCCGTCGTTGGACA